TGATTGGACCGCAACGCTTGCGACGCGACTAATGTAGAACCGGCTTAATGGCCTTTAAAGGTTGCGATTCACTTGACGCTACAAACGCTTCAAAGCATTCTTTGATTAGTCAATTCGTAAAATTCTTTGTTCTAATTGGTCGCTTAAACGCTTCGAAGCGTTTAAGCGACCAATTAGAACAAAGAATTTTACGAATTGACTAATCAAAGAATGCTTTGAAGCGTTTGTAGCGTCAAGTAGACCGCAGCCAAAGCTGGTAAGGCCATCACACGTACAAAAATTTTAGTCGGAATCGTAGTCGCGCGCGCGCGTGTATTTGAATGGATATATATATTCATTGCTTTTCTTTTAATATAAACAGAAAATTATTTTTAATTATACACAACCGTTGAATTAATTTTATACCAATTTAAGGCCATCACACGTACAAAAATTTTAGTCGGAATCGTAGTCGCGCGCGCGCGTGTATTTGAATGGATATATATATTCATTGCTTTTCTTTTAATATAAACAGAAAATTATTTTTAATTATACACAACCGTTGAATTAATTTTAGTCTCACACAAAATCCTATTTTTATGCACTGGAAATATAAATAATATATATGTCATAATACATATGTCGATTTTCAAATAGAGCGCTAAAATGTCGCCAGACAAGATGGCCGACCCCCCGCCGATAAGCTGGTTTTAGGGCCATGGCACACAAAAAAACTCAAGCAGTAAAATGTAAGCAGTAAGCGAATTGACCAATCACAGTAGAGTCCATAAGGTCACAACATAAACAGTAGCGAATCCAACATGTTGATTTCCTTATGCGTGGTCTACAATGGCAGTATCAGTAATGAATGAGGCTGTAAGAGTAAGAAATTGACCAATTACAGTCGATTATTCTTCTTACATTCAACTGTAATTGGTCAATTTGTTACTCTTAGACCGGTATTCATAGTCGATTCTTATTTTAAGACCGTCTTAAGTAGTGTTTTAAGTCGCTAATACGGCCTTCTGATTGGTTCATGACTTCTTAAGACTGTACTTAAGACGGTCTTGAATATAAGATCTGACTATGAATACCACCCTTACAGTCTCATCCACTACTGCTACTGCCATTGTAGACCATGCATTACTGCTTACGTCTTACTGCCTTAAGTTTTTTGTGTGCCAGGGCTTTTACGCTCCGTCCAGATATTCATGCGTCCATGGGTATCACCAATCAGAAATTGCAACACCGATGTCGCTTCTCTCATATATAGGACTACTTGAAACGAGGTGAAAATTACAAAAGTGAGCGAATTTACTAGAATACTGATAATTTCATTGGTCAATACCTAATAAATTTGCTCACTTTTGTAATTTTCATCTTATTCGAAAATACAGAATCGACCTCCAAGTAAAAATTACAAAAGTGAGCAAATTCACTCGAATATTTATAATTTAATTGGTCAATACAAAGCTCCAAAGAATTTAAATAAATTTAAGCGTCCTGTGCCTTAGTTGCACAAAAGTATTTTGACATTATAGAATGATTGAAATAGAAATGGCATTTTATCGAATCCTTGAAATTTGTTCATGTTATCAAAAAAAGAAATTATTTCGATGAGAGACGTTATTCATAAAGATATTCGCACTTGACTTAAAAAAAAACAAAATTTCAACTTTTCGAAAAAATTTAAGTGCCAAGATTTTATTCAGCTTTAATTTAAAATTGTATACCA